CAGTCAAAATCTTCTAGGCACAAGTTATGAGACACATTGCATTGATCAAGGCCAAGGGTTGCAGCATGTTATGGGGGCCTGCATCAGTCTAGGACATCAACTTGCCTTTTGTTGCTTAAGAAAGAAGAAACATTGCATATCACATACCAACTCTCATATCAGCTTACAAACACTTAAGCAAACTTGTGAAACACATTCAAGAGATACCAACTGAGCTAGTACACGACCCTAACATCCCTCATACACTCCCATTCTCAGAATCACCTTCAAACTGCAAGAACAGGGCAGGGCCTGCAGTTTGAGTGCCATCTTTCATTCCTCTCAAGCTTTCTTGCCCAAACCAGTTCACACACCTTCCATACCATCTATGCAAGCTAACCAAAACCTAAAACACGACCTGTAATTCCTCTAACCAGTTCCACCATTTTCAGTTTCTTGTTTTGCAGTTAAAGTTCTCTAGCACGACTCAAGAAGTTTCAAGACAAAGTAAAGCTTGGAATAACATCCCTGGACCTCAAGGAAGCTATACCAATCATCACCTTGCACTGAAAGCTCCTCCATTGCCAGATAGAACTTCAACTGAACAGGTAAGTTTATGGATTCGTATCTCTCTTATTAGGCATTGTTAGCTTTAGGTTTGTGAAGAGAATATGTCACATTCATAGCCCTGAACATGCCCATGTAGTTAGATTTCATTTATATTATGTGTGCTGCAACAATTTTGAGCCTGAACATTGATAAAAAGTTAGGTCAGAAATTGGGGGAGAGGAAATTCTCCCTCATCTTAGAGAGTTAAGACAAGTTCTTTATATCCATGAATTCGTCTCTTGATGCTGAACATTTTTGATGTTATGAGTTTTCATTAAAAAGCCAGGAATCAAGATGTTTGAATCAGGGAACCAGGCGCGCGTTTTTTTGACATTGTTTGGCCAGAGGTTGAAGAAAGGTTATCTGGGCTGGGCCTGTTTTTGTATTTCCTTTTCACACATTCTTTTTACTTCTGAACCCCCTAAGCCCATTTTCTTCATTTTAATGATTTTTTGACTTTTCTTTTTTTGGCTTGACTTACTTATTTTTCCTAATCATATAAAAAATATAAAAATAATTTTTTGTACCATTTTCCTATTTATTAGATATTTATTTGGTTAGACTAGTTATTTGAACATAAATAAGTAAATAAATATACTTTTATTAAAAAATGTTAAAATGGTATGAATACATTTTTATTTTTATTTTATTTCATTTTATATTCTGAAAATATTTTATGTGAAATATACTTTTTTTATAAAAATTAAATATTATTATTTTGTGCATATTTAAAATAGTTTGTAAATAATATAAATAATACATATATATTAGTATACTTAGAATAAAATACCAAAAATATACATATTTTATTTTATTAACATTTAACATTAAAAATACATTTTTCACAAATAGACTTCATTTTTATTTTATTTTTGTATGTAAATAATAAATATTGTATATATTGAATAAATAATGCATTTTATTTTGTAAACTAGGGTTTTGACCTAAATATGAAGATACTCCAGAAAATACTTTTATTTTTATTTTTGTTACATAAATAATACTTTTTTTTCATACATATAAAAAACTTTTTTTTGCATTCTTGCATATTTGTTTTATTTCTATTTGTGCCTTTAATTATATTGTAAATATTCAAAAAAAATGATGTAATAGCTAGGTTTAAATTCCTTGTCAAAATCCCCATTTGAACATTTGTACCCCCTTCCCATATATGGTGTTGTAATAGTTTAGTAAATTTATTTTTTGCACTTTATTGCTTTCTAATTATACCATGTTAGAATTAGGGTTTGTATGCGAAAAATGACGAAAAAATAGTTTTGACCTAATTTCAAGATAAACAAGCATGAAAATGGACACACAAATCACACTTGCACCCCCTAGGGTATCCCACTTGTTGCCTTTCAAAATTGGGCCATATTGCATGTTAGGTCTCTTTGGGCAAAACAAACAAATCAAATGATCATAGTCCCTTGATGACGCTTTCAAAATGTTGCCCAAACAAATGATCAAGTCCCTTAAAGAAAATTGCCCAAAGATACTTGACACCGTTGCAATTATGGTCTAAACGATGACCCGCGCCCGTCCCTTTCACATCCTAATATGAGATTGTCCACCAAATACAATGGTGGAACAAACTCATTAAAAGGGTTAAAACATAGCAATAAACTTTGAGAAATTTAGGAGTAGATAACCTCTTAGTTACTTGAATCAAACTTGCAAAAACAAAACACTTGCCTATTTTTCTAAAACCACACCTCACAACACTTTCAAAACAACTTTCAAAAACAAATAAAAAAACTTTTTCAAAAGACATACACCTTTGTACACATCCCAACATGGATCATTACAAAGGTTGCCACCACATTGGCATCTTTTCAAAACATTTTTAAACCCACACACACACAAGCACCATTTCAAACAATTGAAAAAGGCAAGTGATCTAAGCAAGTAACTAAGAGCCCATGGATAACCATGGATAGAAAGGGTTCTAATACCTTCCCTTTCTATAATCTACTCCCCGAACCCAAGAAAACATCTCAAAGGTTTTTGCTGTGCTTTTTAAACCTTTCCTTAGGATAAAATAAAAAGTCGGTGGCGACTCTTGCTCAACCGAAACATTTGCGAAAACAAACGCAAAACCTCAAGTCAGTTCTCCCACCGTATCACACAAGCCTAACCTTGTTTCTGGTTACAATTCCATTTTCATCATATTTGTTCTTGTAAATCCATTTTGTGCCAATAATATTCATCCATTCATTAAGATTCCCAATAATAAGTTCCTTTGAATGATTTTTCTGAACTATAATAGAGGGACCTTTGTTGGCTAGAGAGTTTTTGGGTTCAGTACTTGTTGGATCAATGTTGGACTCAATGTCTGCCTCCTTTTTTAGAGCATCAGTCTGCTGAGATGTTGTTCCAACATTGTTCTTGCTAAACACACAAAAAAGGAACCTTCCCTACTATAGGTCAAGGAGAGGCCCAAATGATCATTATTGTGTATGTGTTGGGTGTTCTGTGAACTGTTCATCTTCTATCCTTTCTCCTTAGTCTCCCTTTTATAGGCTTATTTCATGCCTTTAATGATGTTGAATGAGCGGCCTCCCATATCCGCCTCCCACTGATGGCTTTGTAACCTCCTCCGTCATCATAAATACCAGTCATTCAAGACAACTTAATATTCATATTTAATCATATGGCTATTGTTGTGTTTGTGCCGATCTTAGAGCCTCTTAGGATTCCCTATCGAATTATTTACCGAACCCATTTCGGAGTCCCTCCAGGTCATCTCCCAACCCCTATATGTAGGTACCCGACTGCTGCTCTCCATACTATATCGCTCCAGTTATATGGTCGGCTCCATTCTTAGCATAAAGCTTTTTGACATGTTATCCCTTTTATCGAGTTCTCATCTCGGCCCAAAGGAAATATTTTGGGATGTGCATAAGCCTCTCGGGTACGAAGTACGTAGGATGTGAAGTATTCGGTCAAGATAAAATCCGAAGTCTTTATCCTAGGGGCCGAGTTGAGATCATTCTCACTAAGCATGTTTTAGTACCCTACTCGGCTCACGTGACATCCACTAATTTCTCAAGTGAATCGTAATGCCCCTTGAGTGGTTTTTTAAAGGCTTTTGACGTTTCGTTAACCATTTTACTCCTCATTACTTTCAGCAAGGCCCCTATATATTTAAAAACCCTTATTCTCCTCTCTTAACACATTTCTTTGTCTGTAACATCCCTTTATCCTGTTTCAACAAAACCTTTTGATCTTCACAAAAGCTTAAAAATTCTCAGGTAATCTCCTTTTCTTTCTTCGCTTTCCTTTTTTATTCTTGTATTTCTTGCGCATTTATTTTTATGCAATGGCAATCCTACGAGAGTGTGACAGCGAGGGGAACATTTTGAAAAACACAAATGCTGAGGAACAAAGAGATATGTGGAATCAATGCATGTGAGATATTAAGGATAACATAGGCCTGGGGGAGTCCAATTGTGTCATAGAAGAAGTTTATGGTGATGTTTTCTCTCCTATAAACAATTATGACTCTGACTCTTCCTCATCAGGTTTTGTAGAAATACAGATGGCAGTAGCTGCTCCTTTTGATGACGAAGTCATGAGCTTTAAAAACATCCTAGTCGATGATACGAAAATCGCTAAAATATGTTCCCCAAAGAACATATCTTCTACTGAGAATGAAGAGGATGTCCTTCTCGAGTCGTGTGTCCTCGACGAACGCGTGTGAATTAATCGTCCTAATGGTTCAAAGGATGAGTATTTCTACTTTTATGTTGGGGTGTTAGAGGATTTCAAAATTCGCCTTCCATTCTCATATTTTGAAGTTCATATATTAAAGCATGTTAATGTTGCCCATTTCCAATTGCGTCCCAATATCTGGGGCTGAATAAAAGCTTTTGAAATAGTCTATGAGGCGACGAGCATCGTCCCCACTGTAGGTTTATTCTTCTCCTTTTTCGAGGTAAAAGGAGTTGATAAAGGCGTCTGGATCCAGATCAGTGGTACTCCCCACAAGAGATTTCTCCAAGAATATACTACCAATTATAAAGGTTTTAAGGACCGATTTGTTCGCATTATAGGTGGGCCGAGGTGTCCCTAGATATTGTACGCCTTGGACAGACACCACCGTTTTCCCCTTTATTAGACTGGAAATCCTCTTCTGATTTATGGCTTTGATTATGAAAAACTGAGTGAATCAGAAATCTAATCCCTAAATGTACTCGACTCATTTTGCATGATGAAGGTCAAAGACCTATTGCTCCTGACCGATAAATAAATCCATGATTTTCTTGGTAATGGTTTTCTTTTTCTATAGGCAATGTATTTATGGTTTTTCCGTCTTTTTACCCATTTTCATACTTGCAGACAAAATGGAAGACTTGCCCGTGAAAGAGCAAAAGAAACTAATGTTGGAAGCACGTGCTGTTGGGAAAAAAATGGGAGGACCGTCCATAGCAACGGTGGATTTGTCTAGGTTAGAGACCTGGATACTAAAAAGGAAGAGAGTTACTAAGGCCGCCTCTGGTGTTGTCGAGCCCCAATCTCCGACTCTTTCCCTTCTCGAAGATCCTCACCAAGGTTCTCCGAAGAAGATGAAGACCCTTATGGCTGATGAAGTTTGCAAAGTCGAATGGGAGATTACTTCTTTGATGTAAGGAGAAAGTCATTCCAAACCATCCGACGAGTTCAAATTTTGGTCAAATACTTTCGATGGGTTCAGGTTCCTTTACGATCACCTTGATGCCACAGAGGAAGTAAATAAGGTGAAAACCATTGGTCGCCAGAAGATAACCCAGAATATCAGCTCATACCTTATGTGGTGTTTCATTTTGACTCGGAACCTATTTGAGTCTAGAGATGATTATGAGAAGACTGAACTGGAGCTTAGTGAAGAAATCACCAAACTAAAAGATGCTCAGAAAGCTCAGTCTGAGAAGGTATTCGCTCTAGAGATGCGCCTAGCTGAAGATAAACGGCGTAAGGAAAGTCTAGAGTCTGAGAGCCACACATCCATAGCTTGGCTTACTGCAGAAGTAAAAGCGACTAAGGATTCCAATGACGAGCTTCATAAAGCTCTAAAGAAATCTCAAGTTGACATTCTCTCTGTCGGTGACGAGGTCTTTGAAAGAACCAAAGAGAAGGTACTATGTCTTCACCACGGGTTGGATCTGTCCGAAGTGGATTATTTCAAGGTGGTGCAGGATGGTCGTCTTATGGATCTGGAAGAGGTTGTCACTACCATACCCGTTGAGCCAAATCCTGAAGCCACTGTTGTCAAAGTTGTCAATGACGGGAAAGATGACCTCGATGAATGATTTTCTTTTTGTTTTGTTTTTCAGTTAGTCATCCTATAAGATGCATTTTGTAACATTTTGGATAATGTTTTGTTAAGCCCTTTGTGGCACCGTACAATTTCCAAGTCCTCTTTTAATGTTCTCTTATGTACTATTAGTATTACTGCTTTTGAACACATAACTGCTTTGAACTATTCTTGGGTGGGTATATAGAGACCCTTGAGCATGAAATCAGTAGGGTTGATGTGCTCGGTTCAGAGCAACCTGGAATATTTTAACCTGCTAGTCCAGGACAACAAAAGGTCTTTTATATCTTTGATCTGTTAATCTCTTGACTCAAGTCAAGAGCTTGACAAACGTGCACAAGTAGTTTCAGTGATAACTTTTGGGGATACCTTCTGCCGAACTTTACTCGTACCCATTATGCTTTTTGATACACCTCGTTTTTGGAGAAGTAACCAGTCACCTAACAAGCCCCAGTCATTGAGATTTGTACCACCAAAATGAGCCCCACGTCATTGGGGTCGAGTTTGTACAAACCAGATGCTTAATTTCTTCTGTATACCACAACTTCACCTGGGAGTAATCATGAAGGGAGTTACTTGTTTGGTTCAGATCCCCTTTACCACTAGGGAAAGGTTGACTGAGTATAGGTTTAGAGCCCCTTTACCATTAAGGTGAGTTTGACCGAGTATAGGTTCAGAGCCCCTTTACCATTAACGTGAGGTTGCTCGAGTAAGGTTCAGAGCCACTTTACCATTAAGGCGATGTTGATCGATAAGGTTCAAAATCCCTTTGTCATTAAGGTGAGGTTGACCGAGTAAGGTTCAGAGCCCATTTAACATTAAGGCGAAGTTGACCGAGTAAGTTTCATAGCCCCTTTACTGTTAAGGTGAGGTTGACCGAGTATAGGTTCAGAGCCCCTTTACCATTAAGGAGATGTTAGGGTGTAAGTTTCAGAGCCCCATTACCATCAAGGCGAGGTTGACCGTATAAGGTTCACAACCCCTTTACCATTAAGGCGAGGTGGACCGAGTATAGGTTCAGAGCCCTTTTACCATTAAGGCAAGGTTGACCGAGTATAGGTTCAGAGCCCCTTTACCATTAAGGTGTGGTTGTCCTGAATTTTGGAAACTGACTACTGATCCTTATAATATTTATTACAATATTTTACTTATGGGTGCCTCATTAAAAACTCTTGTCCTTGAAAGGAAAAATAGTGCATCCCTATATTTATTCATGATTGCATTACATAATCTTAACTGAAAGAAATCCTAAGGTTGGTTACATTCCATGCCCTAGGAACTCCAATGCCATATAAAGTTTCCAGCTTGTAAGCCTAGTTGTCCAGTTTTTGGAGTACTCGGAAGGAACCTTCCCAGTTCGGCACTAGCTTCCCTTTCTCTTTTGGATCAATAATCCTTTTTAACACCAAGTTGCCTCTCTGAAACCCTCTCAGTCTTACCTGCATTTTGAATTCTGGTCACAAGAGAATCTCGGTTGATTCTAGTTGATTGTTGTAAGGTTTTATTCTTGTAAGGTCAAATACAATTTATCACAAAATGAATCTAGCTGATTCTTATAAGGTTTTATTCTTGAGTTCTAAAACTCCATTTTGCTAAGGAGTGATGGGAGATGAGAACTCATGAATAATACCTTCACTAGAGCAAAACTCAAAAAAATTTCCATTCTCAAATTCCTTGCCATGGTCACTTCTGATTCTAACAATCACATTTTCCTTCTCTCTTTGAAGGTGTTGAAAAAATTATTTGAAGACTTCAAAGGTGTCTGGTTTTTCTTTGATAAAGTTCACCCAGGTAAATCTTGAAAAATCATAAACGACCACATAGACATACCTCTTTCCACCAAGACTTTCAACTTGCATTGGCCCCATTAAATCCATATGAAGAAGTTCTAGAACTTTGTAAGTAGTCTAATGTTGCAACATCTGGTGTGACATCTAGGTTTGCTTCCCAATCATATTTATATATATTGAATAACCTTAAGTTCAACCTTACTTGACCGTTCATAAAAGTCTTATAAAGGAAAAATTCCCCCGGATGAATGAAAGATAGTTATTTACAGAGCATAACAAAACTTTCATAACTTGGTTTAATGAAAGTATTTCTAAAGAGAGTAGCCCATCAGATACAATTGAATAATTGTCACATATGCCTAAGTTTAATGTAACTACATGGAGTGTGTGATACGGTGGCATAACCAACTGTGATACTGGTTTTTCATTTGTGTTTGCAAATGTTGTGGTAAGCAAGAGTCGCTACCGACTTTTCTTTTATCCAAATTAAGGAAAGGGTGAAAAGAACAGAAAAAAGACCTTTTCGAGAATTTTCTGAGTAAGGGGAGTAGATCATGGAAAGGGAAGGTGTTATCACCCGTTCCTTCCGTAGTTTTCTACGGCCTCTTAGATGCTTAGCTCATTTTTTAAATACCGTGTGATTTTTGTGTGTTTTGCAAAGTATTTTGAAATTTGTCTTAGTGCAGCGATTCACTTTATGATAACTCTTGTATCAGTCCTTAAGAGTGTTGATAAAGCAAATGTTTTTGAAAGTTGTTTTTGAAGTGTGTAAGTGTAAAAAGTTTGTTTTATTTGAGCAAGCATCTAACAGCTATCTACTTATACTCGAAAAGGTTCGTTATTTTCCTCCTATTCTTTAGACAGTGCTATCCTACTATTAGTGAGTAGGTAACCCTATCGTTGGATGTATGAGGGGCATTCGAAGGGACGTTTTTATAGTCACAAAGGCAACTGGGAAAGAAGCTTTAGTAACTAACCTAGGGTTCTAAGATCATATTTTTACCGAGGCAATGTCGAGAGGGTCATCGATGGACTTATGATCTTTTGAACCAGAAGTTAGCCACTAAAACCTCTCACGTTTCGAGAGTTGTGACTATTTTCCGAAAGCAACCGAAGTGGGGTACCCTAGAGGTGTATATGTGCAATGTGTATTATATTCAGTTATTTTAGTCTTTTTTGTTTAGGTTTGCTAGCGTTTTGATTTTAATCTTTGCCATATAATCCTATTAGTCATACATCTAACAATTGATATATGTACAAGAATTAAAAGTTCGGAAATGTAAATCCTACGTTATTACGTGGCTTTGGGGATTAATTACATGTCCGAAAACTTGGAAAAATTAAGAAAAGAGGTAAATAGTCCTAGTTAATTTCTATTACATCCCATAAGCAGTTACAATAATATGAAAAGTGCAAAAAGAAATAAATACGCGCAAATCGAGAGAAAAACGTCTAAAAATCCTAGGGAAAAGAAATCTTTTGTTTGTTTTTATTTATTTTTAGAAAATAAAGTCTAAGTCTATTTAATTTTAATTTTATGAAATATTTTAAAGTAATTAAATTAATTAGTTAACAAAAATAATTTTAATTGAAAAAGACTAGACCTAATTTTTGTGATTTTTTGTTTATTGTTAAAAACAGAAATTAAAAAAGGAATAAGTAACACAAAAAATAGAAATGCAAGAGAACAAGTCTTTCGATCCAGAGGAAAAGGTAGTTTTCGATCAAGAAGAGGCAGTTTTCGATCTAATGAATGGGGCAATTTTCGATCCAAGGAATAATGATTGTCTTTCGATCCTGGAGGGGGAAAACTGCTTTTCGATTCATATCTGCAAGAGAAGCATTAGAAAAATAAAGATGCAGGACCTGGGTGTCGAACCCAGGTCCTTCGATCCTATGCGCATTGGTCTGCTCAGGCTTGATCTGCAATATAAGCGTTAGAAAAAATGAAACAAATACAAACCTGGGTGTCGAACCCAGGTCCTTCCCTTGTTCACACACCTGCAAGTTTGATCAAATGCTGGATCGAAACAGATCCAAAGACCCTACCCTACGTATGATAATTTCCTAAACCCAAATCTGGGGTTAAAACTGGTACAAGATCTTTGTATCACCTAGTTTGAAGCCTTAAAATGGAACCCTGTACTTCCACACTTATATTTTTATGAATGATCAATAAGAACACAAACATGTATGTAAAAACAATTCAAATAGTAAGCGAAAGGTTGTGACCCAGAATTTTACCAAGGACTGGTGGGCTTGGTGCGTGACTTTTGGGTGTGCTTCAGGCTTGGAGGAGAGCTGGTATTTTATTGGACTTGAAGGAGCCTGCAAAGAGTGTTTTTATTTTGACAACTTTGCTGGATTCTTGAGAATTTCCGTGGCTCTTTGAGGTAGCTTTCGATAGGAAATCTATGCGATGTGTGTGTATGAGGCAATATATAAGCGTAGGTCTCCAGTGTATGTATCTCCTCCTTGACCGGTGGTATGATTGTCTTGTATTTATAGGAGACGGGGGTGCATGGAAATGGCAAGAGACAGCCATTAATCAAGCTTTGGAGGCCATGAGACCAAAATCAGACACATTGAAAAACTTCCATTTTTGAAATATCCATGCCTCTTTAAGACTTAGGATGAACCTGGACACATTTGGCTCCTTCGAATGCCCTCCAGCGTTGCTCTTCGATTGGCCTAGAGTTTTGATTCGAAGTGTTCAGAAACTTCTTTATTAGAGCTTCTTCGATCAGTTAGCTTCTACATTGATTGCTTGATTTTGTTGATATGCCTATCTAAAAACATCTTGCTATGATATGCCAATTGAAGGATACTTTGTTAATCATGCCTTCGAAGTACCCCTTATCCTTGCTCTTCGATTGGCCCATAATTGTCTCCTTCGAATGGCTCAAGTCTTGCCCTTTGATTGACTCTGAGTTACCTCCTTCGAATGGCTCATGTTTCATCATTGGGGCCTCTTCGATTGAGCCCCTACTCAGCTAACCCAAACGAAAATTCTTTCCATGCCAATCGAAGCTTCCTTTGGCATGAATGCATGTGCAGGAAGCTTGAGTATGGCAATATGTAGGATTTTTGGCCAGCCAGCATCTTTGCATATTTCTCCTTCGTTTTGACCAACTAGATCTAATCTTTGACCAAACCCCTTTTTTTATACAACACTATGTATCCTTCAAATGATCCTTTGAATGCT